CAACATCTATAAACAAGGGTGTTGATGGCAGCAGCACAGCCGATGTTTCTTTCCAGGATGACGTCACAGCCAAACAGGAACAGACGAGGCAAAGCTACTCTGAGGAAAAGCAGAGAGAGCAGAAGGTTAGAGATTGAACTAACAGATTCTGCAGAATAGGAGAACAGAGAGAGAATGAAGCAGAATGATGAAATGGGGGTCCCTATGTCCTCCAGAAGTCTAAGCCTATAGCAGCATAACTATAGAGATAGCTCAGGATAACCTGAGCCGCCCTAACTATAAGCTTTATCAAAAAGGAAAGTTTTAAGCCTAGCCTTAAAAGTAGACAGGGTGTCTGCCTCACGGACTAAAACTGGTAGTTGGTTCCACAGGAAAGGAGCCTGATAACTAAAAGATCTGCCTCCCATTCTACTTTTAGAAATTCTAGGAACCACTAGTAAACCTGCAGATTGAGAGCGAAGTGCTCTGTTAGGAACATAAGGAACAATCAGATCTCTGATATCAGATGGAGCTTGGCCATTTAAGGCTTTATATGTGAGAAGGAGGATTTTAAATTCAATTCTTGATTTAACAGTGGGTTTAATGGGTTTCATTAATTCGGCCTCAGAGTTGCAAGGCTATAAGGGGTCTAAAGGAGAGGGGTTGTATTAGAGAGGTCATTTTAGGCAGTGTTTGGAATAAAAATAATTGTGCTCATAAAAAACTAGACTGTTTCGGGTAACGGTATTTGGAGACCTTCAGAGCAGAGTAGGACATTATGCCTTCTTTGATTTAAAAATAAAATAAAATGCAGACTGAGTGAAATCCATCCATCTCTGTTTATATAACTGGACTGTATGTTTGAATGCCTTTTCCCTACTACTATTTGGCATTTGTTGGCAGAATACCCTGAACTTATTTTTCTGGGAGCAGTTATGACAGAAGTTTCTGATCAACCTGGAATTAATTCCCGGCCTCAAACCAAAAAGATGGACGATGCAGGACTTCTGACTGGATGTTTCCAGAGGTCAACAAAACATTACCAACTGATGTTTTTGAGATGGTGGGAATTTATTTGGATTTAAAGTCAATATACAAGTTAATATTTCTACTGGGGACAAAGGTAAATGTGGGTTTTTCAACTTGAGAACAAAATTAACTTTGGGCAGGAGGAATACTCCAAGGGCTCCCCTAAAAAGTTAAAGGGGGGAAGGCCGTAAATATTACCGTACAAGGAAGATGTTTGATTTGCTGAGATGTCAGTAATCTAGTGATTGATCGCCCCTATTAATCCAGGTTGATTTTCGGAAAATTACTAGTGGATAAATGGGAAATCACTAACAAATTAGATCAGAAATCACCTCGGCCCCAGTGAGAAATTGGTTAAAATTAGCCGAGCATTATATCTTAAGGATGAACAACTTTTCTGTTTTAATATTCATTTGAACCATCTGAAGGCGTCAAGACTGAAACTGCCTGGAGAGAGCACTCAATAATTGTAAAGTGATGGACAATATAGACCTTCAACGATGCAGAGAAAAGCTTAACAACTCTCTCATTTAGAGTAATTTTTGCATTTTTCAAAGAAGAAAATGCTCCTTGACAATCTGACTGTTTTACATGACATTTAATCCATGGAAAAATTGTTTTAGGGTCAGACTCCAGGATACCCCGTACCCCCATACCCATCTGAGTTTCTGTGGGGTATTGCAGTCTAACAAAATAAGCCAAACAGCCGCCATTCCAAGTGGGCATACCCCTTCGTCTTTTCCAATTTTCATGTTTTCAAAACAAAAACAAGGCTTTGTTGGGCTACTGTATAAAACCTCGAACTCAACGCTATTCCTGACATTTTGAATTGAAAACTTTTCCTGAATGGGAAACGAAACGTCTTCAAATTTGGAAACAAGGTCCAGTGGATTGTTTTCAATTCTTTTAGAATAACTATGACCTGGATGACCGAGAACCTTCAAACAGCATAATATAATATAATCCAATAGAATAAAATCTGTAGTAATGTGTCATCTTGTTCTGAATTAGATTTTTCTAAAAGAAGATCAAAATGAATCTGATTTTTCTTTTATCTGCTGGTAGTATGGTGATGTCCTTGTCGCTTTGGAGGGCTGTCAGACCGTTCCTTTCCAGAACATCTGGTTTGTAGGGTGAGCCTTTGCACTGAAGAGTGCTGCATTCAGCCTAAGTTGTTCAGCCTCTGTGGAAGTAAGTTTGTTGTTTCTGATGGCTGTCTCCATGACAGTGATTAAATCCACTGTGGGGATCTGTGTGGGGGAAACTGCACAACTGGAAAAACCTTCTCTTAACAGTGGGGATGGTCTTAAAAATTTCCTTTCACCTACTTACAAAGCACTTTTAGGATCAATACCTAGAAGATTCACCTCTCACCTGTGCCCACCTGACTCACACTTCAATTAGGCATGTGACCAAACCATGATGTGGAGGAGAAGCAGCTATACTCTGAGTCCTCTCTGGATGGTTGAGCTCCTCACCCTATCTCTAAGGGAGAGCCTAGACACACTACGGAGAAAACTCATTTCAGACACTTGTATCTGGGATCTCATTCTTTCAGTCATGACCCAAAGCTGATGACCAAAGATGAGGGTAGTGTTGAACCATATTTTTTCCTTGGATGTTAGTAAGGTTAAATATTAAAGAGTGCCGCTTTTCTCCTCGTGAATAGGGGGGTTTGTTTAGAGGCCTTGTTCCATTCTTAATGCTGAGATGTAGGGAAAGGAATGAGGGTTGAAACAAAGTTTCCTCCCTAGGTTAGATAAGGGGGAAAACATAGATAAACATGTCCTTATTGTGTTCAAGATTCTCATATTCTGTCTTTGGTGTGAACGGCAAACGGTTGTCTGAAATGTTTATCTGAACAAATTTATGTTCTTTGATGAACTAAAGTGTTTCTCTTGGGAAGATTCAATGTTCGTGTGTAAGGAATCTCTATATAATGCAAGGGTGGGCAGCGACCTAGTCAGAGCAACAACTGGGAGCTGTAGGCAGCTGTCTTGTGTAGTTCGCCTATGCAGAGTAAAACAAAACCTTTTTTTTCCTTGCATATCAACTCTCAGTGCTCATTTTTACTCCACAGTAGGAACGTAGATCGACCGGTAAATTGAGAGCTTTGCTTTTTGGCTCAGCTCTCTTCACCACAACAGACTGGTACAGCGCACACTTCACAGCAGACGCCGCACCAATCGATCTCCCACTCCATCTTCCCCTCATTCGTGAACAAGACCCCAAGATACTCAAACTCCTTCACTAGGGACAGTACATCGTCCCCAACCCGGAGAAGGCACTCTTCCCTTTTCCGGCTCAAGACCATGGCCTCGGATTTGGAGGCACTGATCCTCATCCCGGCCGGTTCACACTCGGTATGATCATTTATTGAAGTTAAAAATGTTGGATAAATCTGATGTAGTGCATTTTATTAATCGTAGGAAAAAGTCAGGGAAGAAGAGAAAAGATCAAGGTGATGCACACTACCAGAGCTTTCCCTGTTAAAAGTAATCATCTCTGTCTGTGAATCAGCGTCTTTTCTTAAACCATGGATAAGTAAACTTAGTAATACCTCTGTTATTCCTAACAGGTAGGTAATGTCAGAGTTCAACAAGCGCATACAACAATGAAAAGGAGGTTTCTTCATGTTAAAAGGGAGTTTTCTGCTCCACTGTCACTACAAACACGCTTAGGTTGAGGGATTGCCTTAGAAAATAAACTTTGAACCAATCTGACTGTAAGATCTCGTTTAAATGTCTCTGTGAAGTGCATTGAGATAAGATGTGTTGTGAATTGACACTATATTAATAAATAAACCAAATTGAAAATGAATTGAAAAGAATAATCCTAACATGTTGATTCCCAGCTCAGACTCAGCTCTCACTCTGCTTCATGACACCATCAGCATCCAGGAAACCACAGACCACCATGCAGCGTTCATGATCACAGGAGATTTCAGCAGCTGCAGCTCAGACTGAACACACTGAAGACTTTCAGCAAGACGACGTCCCAACAGACAAGGAAACACACTGGGATAGATGAGAGCTTTCATACATGATGTCTGCAGAGCTTCCTTCAGACCGACTTTGGATCTTCAGAGATTCACATTTCTGATGGTTCTGCCAAGGATCCAGACAGGAGCTCAGAGCAGCTTCTCCAAGACAGTTCAGCTATGATCTGCTGAACATCAGCTCAGATTACAGGACTGTTCTTTTCTCATTCAGACACTTTTGAAATCTGCACCCAATCATGAAGAACCAGCAAACTTGATTCCAGTTGATCCTGAGGACAACATGAAGATCTGAACTAACTCCCAGATCCAGTCCATGTGGACTAAAGTAGTGGAGCGACCCACTGACTGACACCAACACCAGAACCATGCTGCTAGTGCGGCTAAAAGAAAAGAGAAGAAGAGACAGTCATGTTGATGTGAACATTAGAGAAACACATCATGGAGCTGAAATCTGATCCTGCTTCATCATTTGGACCGCTTCACCTCAGCTGACCCATTCAGCAGCAGACAGCTTTTCTAGCAGTCTTTCTCACTGTGTAGAGGATACTGGAACCACATCTTTGGTTCTGGAACCAAACTGGATGGAACAGGTAAGAACCAACATTTATTGTTTGATTGTAGAAGTTAAAATGTGTTTAAAGTCACTTTCTGCTGCTTCAGGATTTACATGTTAGTTTTTATCATTAGGAGAGAATTCATCATGAAAATATCAATAATTGATGGAAAACATGTTAAAATGTCTCTGAACAACTTTAGAAAATCAATGTTGATATTTTTACAGATATTGGAGAATAATATCTGAAACCTTTCAGTAACTCTAACCCTGTAATATCTGCTAATATTGTTGATAAAAGTCTAATTACTGTAAAATATTCTTTATAGATTCACTAACTGCTAAACCTGAGTGTTACATGTAGCTGAGAGAGAAAAACTGAAAATAATCAGAGCAGAAAACAGCAGACAGGTTTTTGTAGCAGTCTTTCTCACTGTGAATGAATACCTCTTTGGTTCTGGAACCAAGCTGTATGTTTCAGGTAAGAACCAACATTTATTCTTTTATTTCAGAAGTTAAATGTGATCATAGTTACTTTTTTGATTTTGGGTTGCTTGAACTTTTCTCTCTGTAAAGCGACTCAGTTTTTAACTTACTTTGTCAAAAAGTTTTGATATTTAATTATTTGAAAATCATCAGAGCTCTTAGTTTGTAAAATAATATACAGATTATAACTATAGTGAGACAAAATTTTAGTAGTTAAATGGATTTAAATATATATTAAATTCCTAAAAGTATTAAATAACTTAAATGAAAAAATTATAAAATGAAATTATAATGTGGAACTCAAAGTATTAAGTTGCTTGGTAAGGAAATAAACTAACAGTCTAATACCGTATATAATGTATATCTAACTAACAGTGATCGACTGTGAAGCGCTCCAGCCCTTCTGGCATACTGCACATATAAACTGTTATAATTAATGAAATAAAATCAATAAAACTCAGAGGTTCTTTAAAGGTGATTCCAGGTTCTGTAGAAAACATTGTTATATAGTGATGTGGAGTTGGAAAATCAGAAAAGCTGTGTTATCTCCTGAAATCACTCATTTTTTAAATTCATTTCTAGATCATCAAATACAGTCTAATTTAAAAAAAAAAAAACCCTGAAAAATTTTATGAATTATTTGAAGGATTAAGAGACTAAATATTTCTAAACATAGCTAGTTTCATATGAAAAAGTAATTACATACTATGCGCCGACGTTTAATGTACATTCAGTACATTCAAAAATTACTGTAAAGGAAAATGATTTTATTGAATTTTGAAGAACTTATTTAAATTAAAACACAGTGGAGATATTAATATTTTAAAACAACAATTTGTCTAAAATCATGGCGAAGTTCCTCAAATTAATTTAACACATGGACTCTGCCACGCTCAAAGATTGTCATTGAATATAATAATTTATTAAACATCCAGAAGAGGACTTTCATCAAGCAGACCTAGATTATTACATTACCACCATGTTTAGATGGAGGTATGATGTTCTGGTCTAAGAGGCTTAGTTTTAATTAACTTTGGTTCATTAGGTCCTAGAATATTTTGGGTATCATAACAGTATCTTTTCTTTCTTAGATGTGAGGTTCTGTTAAGGAAGTATGGTTAATTATTTGAGCTACCTTCACAGCAGAACCATCACTACGTTCTGCACAGATAACCTGCTATGAAATATAGCTGCCAATAAACTGGATGTCCAACCTAAGGTGGACACGGACCAAAAGGTTCTGCTTTCCTCTGTCTTTATTCTGCAGAATGAAACCAGTAGAAAGGTCTTAGCCACTGAACCCGGACAGTCAGCAGCGGTACAATGAGAAGATGAGATAAATTATGTACTGACTGGCTGTTTAGTCCTCTATATGGTAGTCTGAGCATAAAATGTTAAAATCTATTTGTCAAACATGTCAAGTTTTGGATTTGAAAATACAGGAACTTTTATGACATCCGCTGCGAGCCGTCCAACTACCCCAATCAAGAACAATTATATTTTATGACTGGTAAACAAGAAATATAATATAAATAAATAAATAAATAAATAAATAAATAAATAAATAAATAAATAAATAAATAAATAAATAAATAAATAAATAAATAAATAAATATGATAATTTTATCAACCAGAAAAACTACGGGAGACTGATAATTCGAGAGGATGTCGAAAAAGAGGGGTCAAATTCAATAGTTTGCCGGCCAAGATAGCTTTGCTATTGGTAACCCATGGAAAGAATCTAAAATAAAGGCCATGTGATTGGTAAATAATCTGACTGCAACAAAAAAAAAGTATCAATTATTAATTATTGTCTACAGTTCAATGGAGAAGACCAGATATCGCAATTTAGAAATGTTCCTTCATTAAATAAGAAACAGCAATGAAGCAACGATTTAACATAGTTGTAGATCAGATCAGAATAATTTATTAACCAAGATTTGAAATGCTGGAATGAGGAGTTGAAGGAACAGACTAAAGTGCTGGACAGCTTTTTGTAATTAGCTCAGGAGGAGCTTTGATCACCGTATCAGTCTGCTGGTGTAAGCTTTGCTTGTAATATACTTATGGCAGAGCATGTGAACGGAGGGGAGTGCTGCGCAATTCCCGCTCCCTGCACAGGAGGATGTTTGCTCCGCCGCTCAAAGTTGCAGCAGGACACTCGCTTGCTCCACGCTCAACTTAATTTTCCTGCCTCTGTGGCGAAATCGCTCCATACTCGCTCAGATTTCCAGGAGAAGGCATTTTCTGATATTTTTCCTTCATGTAATGATGCCAGGGCCCTGGGACACACGGCATATGATTTAATAATGTGACTGATACATGTGGATTGTCTTATTTAACTGGCTGTTAAATTATCGCACCGTTTCCCAGCTGGCAACACCTCGCTCCATTCATGTTGTTCCACGTTTCCTATTATTAATTTATTTTACTAGACTACATTAAAAAAGGTCACTTAGCATCCCATTGAAAATTAGATAATAGCGTATAATGCATGTATGCAATTCATTTTTAAAACGGGCTCCTACCAGAACGATCACTTTATGTAAACCCGCTCTGTATTGTTCAGTCTAGTTAGTGTACGATTTTAAGATATTTTACACCAGATTATAGGCACATACTACAGCATAGGCATTGGACTAGGTTTTAAGTTAAACATGAATTTAAATAAAGTCGGAGCAAACTGGAGCGAAGCAAAATCCTTGCTTCGTCCTTTGAATTGAAAAGTTCTCTGTGCTCCACCATATTTCTTCCAACTCCGCTCCACTGCTCGATCCACGCTCAGCTCACATGCTCTGACTTATAAAAAGTTTTTGTTAAATTATGTGGTAAGTCACACAGACTTTTGACCTGCCATGGAAATGTATGCCACCAACCCCAATTTTGTCAATCAAAAGATAAACTACAAAGCAACAAAACTGTCGACCTCTCCCATAGTTTTCCCAGCTATATATTATAACACAGATTCCCTTACTCAGCATGTGATGAACGCACTGTTCCTACATCTAAATTTCTGATTCTCTCCATCCCCCGGACTTTCAGCATTAAAGCCAAACAAGTCTTTTGAACATAAGGCTCACAGTCTTGGAGCCCTTTTTTGCCCAGTCTTAATTTTCCTTCCTGCTAAATCATGACCTCTGACCCCTGCTGAGGCAGTGAGGCCTGCAGAGCTTCAGATGTTGTTCTGGGTTCCTCTGGACCTCCTGGATGAGTAAGGACCTGATGAATTGTTGTTTGAAATCTTTCAATGAAAAAATAAATCATAACCTTAAAGCAGCCTTTTAGTACTCAGTTTATTGAAATGAGTTTCATGATAGGAAATATATTTTTTTATAAATTATATAGTTATATATATATATACTTTTCCCAGCTCTGTAGCTTCCAGGATCAGAGTGAATCCAGAGCAGAGCTGGAAGCTGCTGCTGACTGTGTGTCTCTGCTGCTTGTTGCTGCTGTCTTCAGGTATAAACAAGCTGAAGAAGCCTGAGGTGACCGTGTGTCCGGTGAAAACAGAACCCAGTGAGGAGGGAAAGACCGCTCTAATGTGTCTGGCCTCAGACATGTTTCCTCCTGTGGTCCAGATCTCCTGGAAAAGACAGGAGAAGAACAGCCAACAGGAGCAGCGGCCCCCTGCTGAGGAGAGACAGGTGGAGGTCAGCGGGTCACAACGTTCTGCCATGGTCCGTATGGTTACAGATGAGACTCTCACCAATTATAAATACATCTGTGAAGTTAAACATGAGGGCGGCAACGTGAGGAACCAAACATGGATCCAAGGTATGAAAAGCAGAAGATAAGTTCAGCAGAGATTCAGCTTCAGATGAAAACTGAAACATTTAACTCTCTATGCTGTTGGATTTTTCTTTCTTTCAGAATTTAACGCCCCAGCAGCTCCCACTCCTCCACCAGCAGCTGCTAATCGCCCTCAGCTCCCAGTGAAGCCATCAGTGTCCTTCCAGTCTCAGTGCAGGGTGAAGCTGCTCCTCCTGCTCTACACAGTGCTGATAGTGAAGAGTCTGGTGTACTGCTGTGGACTCTCTCTGCTGATGAGCCTCAGAACCAAGGGACCGTCCACCAACTGAACACATGCTGACTCATTGCTTTCTCATTAACTTTCAGCACCATCGCATCTCAGCAGTTTTTCACTTTTACCACTCTGATTACTTAAAAAATGTTTTTAAGTTACGCGGCAGGTAAATCTGGTTTAATTTAGGCTTTTTTATCACTTCTGCCAAGGAGGTTTGTATTTGTCAGCATATTTACTGTCCATATATCTGTTAGAAATGGAACTCGAATAGTTCTGAATTTATGACATTTTAAAAGAAGGAGCTTATTTTGACAAGGGACAGATGATTAGATCATGTTGCTGGTGTGAACTACTGTGTTCATTTCTTCTACCTTTTAATTTTTTAATACACTTTAACCACAGAGTGTTGCAGGTTTTTAACATGTATTAATTCAGTATCTCAACAAGCTCAAAAATATTCATTTTGTGTAGATTTCTCACATTTAAGTGCATGTATTTAAATAAAAATCAGAATAAAAAAATAAATTTTAAACATTGTCTCTTATTGATAGAAAGTAAATGTAAAATATCAGTCAACAGTGCTGGTGATCCAGCAGGTCCAGCTGTTCATCCTCTGATAGTTAAACTCTGAATCGTCTTAAAGTCAGAAAGTCCAACTTTACGCTGATGACTCTGTTGTTTCCACACATGAACAAACAGCAGAGCTGCTTTGAAGCTCCAGCTGCTGAAACCAAACATCCAGAGGTTTGATCAGTCAGGACTGAAGTCTGATTACGGTCATCCAATTTCACAGCTGAACTGTTTCAAATGACATACAATAACTTTTTTTGATGACTTGTTTTAAAACAAATAAAATGTTTACAGTAAGCAGAAAAAAACATTATCCAGATGGTGAGTTTGTAGAGCAGCAGATATGAATCTCTTCTTAGTGGTTAAAACAGTAAAAACGGCTGAGAGCCAATCAAACATCCTTTCCTGCTGCTGTGTGGGTTTGTGCTCTGCAGCCTCCACACCGTTAGCTGTGGCTTTTCACTTTAATAAGACAATGACAGTTACAAGCATCGACTGAGCTGAAAGAATGATCACAGGAAGCAGCTGTGTTCTTCATCTGAGAGAGAAACAGCTCAAACCCTGAACTCAGAGCTGATCAATCACCTCTGATCAGACTGAAAACAGCTCAGTCTGTTTAATGATGCTAATTCATTCAATGAAAAATCCTTAAACATTTTCAATCATTACAAAAACAAAACCTGCATTTTAAGTTTGACCAGCCTTTTCTGTTTTTTTCTATGATGCAATAGGAGTGATTTCAGAAAAACAGGCACATATAGTAGGCCCTCACCACCGGAGAGGGTAATTGAATGTGCATTTCTGCTCCCTAGGGGAGCACTTTAGAATTTGTTTTTTAACAATTAAGCCAAAAGCCCCCCTTCCCTCATGCATGTCACTAGTTCGAAACTGATCGGTGCAACACAAACCACAGTGAGACAAAAACACAAACCACTGACAAAAACAAGTCAGGTTATTAGGTTCCTCTAAAGACATGGGCAGAAACAGATAAGCATGTTTGTTCATCTTCAGTCCCTCTGCTTCAGTGGCTGATGATTGAAAAAAAAAACAACCCTCCGCATAACCATCAAAGGAGACTAAAGTATTTGACATCAGAACCATCTGAGTTCTCTTCATTCCTCTTTTTACCCGTTGAAGAAGCTAGAGGCTTCTTACATCCTGGAAATAAACTCAGACCACATTAAAGTCTGTTCTATTAGACCTTACTTTACTTGCCCTGACTTGTGACCTCAAAAGACCATGTAGCAGAGTAGAACAGAGGCTTACAGAGGACCAACTAAAATGTTTCAATAAATCATGATGATTGCTCACATCATTACAAAAGAACTTTTAAAGTGAAGAAAATAAAACATTTAGGCCCAATCCCAAAACAACCCGTAACAACCACAAGCCCTTACTCACTACAGCTAGAACTCAACCACCAGCAACACACCCTGAAACTGAAGCCAGTATTGTTAGGGATTCTCTTGGAATTAGGACACCACTAATGTCAGTTATTGCGTATTTATGTATGCACAGACATAATACTTATGCCACCATAAGAGAGTAGAAAATGCATTTTTCTTTTAAACATTCATTGAATAATATATCGTAAAAAGGGTATTAAGCTGAACCTGATGAACAATCTTTTTCCATTGTCAGGTATGATTTTTCAAAAGTGATTATTAAACACAGTTGACAATGTCTGGGGTGATGATAAGTATAAAATAAAAAAATCCATAGGGCAGAGTACCATGCCATTAGATAATCAAAATTGAAGATAGAGAAAACAATGTTGACTGGGTAAAGCAATAAACTGGGTAAAGCAAACAAGATGAAGGAATGTTTCGTAATTCATGCATAGTCACACACGTGCATAGTACCATTCAGACTGAGTGTATGTTAACACACAGGAAAACATGCACTGATCTAACAAGGTTTCATTTCCATATTTTCACATTTCACAGCTTATATACTAGTCTCTTCTGAAGGGAAGGACTATAAGGTCATAATATCCATAAACCATTTGTAATTACAATGCACTGGATGGATCCCTCAGAAGTGACAAAACTTGACATGATATCCTCTAAAGTTGTCAGAAATATATGCAGGTTAGATGACTGATCTGAAACCAGCTTGCTAAAAGGAGTGAGCACACACATCTGATCCCCTTTCTAGATTTGGAAAAAATAAAAGTCTTTAAATGGTCTCTAATGCCTGCAACCACTCCAAACTCACCTGGCTTATAACTTAGCCATTCCAATATTTGCAAACTCTGATAGCTTAGAATTTGGATTCATGCTAAATCTCCCAATCATTGAAACAGCTAATTTGTATAGGCTTATTCCGTGTTAAATGTGAGTTTTCGAAAGACAAAATTGATGTCCACCTGAAAACTCCTCAATATTAGCCTATAGTGACACCAATCTCAAGCTCAATCTGATCCATAATTTTAGGATCTTGCACCAAAGCTAAGATACCTGTTGGATTTGCCCAAAACACTATTCATAGAAATTACTGTACAGATGCTATGCAATGTCCATCCCACTGTTCTTCTTATTTCCAGGATCATCACTACGGCGACTGCACACACAGAGTACCAGGAAATAAGAACTACAAACTAGACACCTTCACCCTTGTTGCTCCAAATTCATAGCACCACAGATTCAGAACCCCTGAAAGAGTGAGCTATGAATCAAAATTAGTATACTTTATCTATCTCTTTCCTCTTTGCATGCTTCTTTCCTGTCTCCTCTTTGTGAAAGATAATCACTGAACCAAGAATACTAGAACAAAGGTGAATGTACAACAAATGTCCACTTCTCAATGTTGGGTTACATTGTAATGACATTAGTTAGCTAGCTAGAGATAAACTCACCCAAGCGCCAACCTGCTCTCCCGAGCACGGTACCCACCTCTAAAGAAATATCAAGTTACCCATTGGAGTTCTAAATGGAATCTCCTGGCAATGTGGATTAATGGACTTGGTTAGCTTTAAAGACTGAGATGGATACCCAATCTTCAAAGCTAAAAGGGGGTAATATGTTGGGATATATTTCCACAAGAGAGCCCAAATCAATTTGAGAAACCATTTAAAATCACCCCCCTTTGTTTTGCACAAAGAGAAGAAAGAATGTTTGTAAACTTCCGGCCAAGGAATATTTAGCTCACACATGGACCAATCAGGTTTACAAGAAGCCTGGAATCCCATCCAGAAAATACCCCATACGTCATTCAGGGTTTAAAACCCAGAGCGCGAAATCAATCTCCCTCTTCCCCCTGGGTTTCCACACCTGTATGGAGGGGCCTGTAGTAATTTTTAGACCATTAATTAAGGACTCAGACAACAGCTTGTGTTTAGCCGGCAGGCATATTTAGTTAATTGTCCTTTACCAGGACCTATACATGTACACAACCCACCTCTGGTAAAGAATGCCCCGAGGACCATAACATACCACATTTCCCCTTCCCCAAAGTAATGATAAAATTTTAAACAAAACATGGACTTACCTAACTAAAAGCATATAGTCTGTCTCCTGAATACTGAAAATAACATATAGAATAACTATAACATTTGGAACATGTTTTAAATGTTTTTCGTTATAGGACATAATCTTTGAGCCATGCTGGTGCCTTCACCTCCCTCTTTGGAAAAACCCTTTCCATATTTTCTCCGACACTCACTTGCAGTGCTGCTATCTGTTCTGTGTCAGAATCTCCACGACATACGAACGAGGAGTGTCTGCTTTTCTAAGCTCCATAGCCATCTCCTGGGTGTTTGTAATCCAGACGCGCTGACCAGCTCTGGCCTGACCCCCGCTCTATGCCTTTTGTTGTATGCCAGTGTCTGTGCCTGTTTTAATTCTTGTCCTTGTCTGCAAATTTCTTTTGGTTTGGCCACTGTGGTTTAAGTTGACTGGGTGAGAGTGGCAAGGGTGAGTGCAGCCTTCTACCCATCAGGAGCTCAGCTGGTGATGGGCCTTGATTCAGCGGCGTGACCCGGTATGCCGACAGGGCCTTTTATGGGTCGGTGTTCTTCTTCAAGAGGCTTTTCACTGTTTTTACCGCCCTCTCTGCCTCCCCGTTACTCTGAGCGAAGTACAGACTGCTGGTGACATGTCTGAAGTCATAGTCTGTGGCAAAAGAGGAGAAAGAGCTAGAGGTAAACTGAGGTCCATTATCAGTTATCAGTATCTCAGGCACCGTCGTCCTTTCATCAAAAGATCACCATTCATGTGTAACTCACCCGGTGAATCCAATAAGGCTTCAACTGCTGGGACAGCTCTTCTTGTCGTGGCCAGCCTCTTTGACACTGGCGGAACAGCTGACTGCAGATGGCGTCCTGCTGCTGATGGTCAGCTATCTGCTGGAGTTTGGATTGAGACGCAGGTAAGTTATCACGTACTGTGTTAATGATAGGGCTGGGTATTGTTCAAAAATTTTCGGTTCCGGTACCAATACCGATACCTTCACTTCGATACCGATTCCTGAACGATACTTTTTTCGATACCAGTTTTATAATATCAATTCGAAGAAAAAGAAAATTACACAACATAAAAAGTACAAATCTTGAGTTTTATTTTAAGCTCTGATTTTTCCATTTACATTTTTCCTTTTACATAAAAAAAATTTCAGTGTCTAATATTCACTGTTACATTGTGAGGACCTTTTTACTTAGCAGTTTTCCTTTAGAAAAATTACCATGTCTGACAAACAAGCCCGTTGAATGGGATCCTGCTGACAGCGCACCGCTGGTATGTGGGGGTCTGAGCGGCTCCGACAGAAATATTAGAAGGCAGGATGAACTGACTGCACTGATTAAGTTTTCAGGTGGATTTTCCCACTTAAAAACATAATAAAACTACTTTATTCGCACTGATCACAGCAAATATAGCTGCAAGGCAAATAAAGGATAGAGTAGCTCCGCCCAACGCGCGT